AACAATAATTACCAGGTCTTCGTCCATTGAATTTTCCAGATTCCTTCTATTTTTACTGACAGCAAAGCAACCATTGACAGAAACAGAAAAGTCATCCTTATATCCAGGCAACGGTAAAAAGCAATGAAGCTTTCCTTTATTCTTTGACACATCATCAATTCTTGCAGCCAATCCAACATTTGGTACAAATTTGCAATCACGAACATATTTCTTAAATTTAATATAATCTTTATCATTAACATCAGCAATATAGTTGATAATTAGCCATTCACTTTTTAGATTACATTGAGAAGAACTTTGACAGAAATTCATTTTGTAAATAGTTTCAAAATTTCCAGAATTTGTTGGAGATTTTATCATAGATATTATATTATTAGCCAATAATTTTCTTTTATCAGATATTTCTTTAGCATTAGTAACTTCAATTTGATATAAAAGAGTAGGAATAGTTTCACCTTTTTTAATCTCATAAAATGAAATCTTTTCAATATATTTCAAAAACATGAGACAAGTAATGTTATCAACATTAAAGAAAGTTTCAAACATTTCTTTTATTTGATCAATTTGATATATTTTATCGGAAATCTCTGATTCTTTTGCATCCATTTTCGTTCGAAGAGAGTATCGAAATATCGTTCCATTATAAAATTCATTTAAATTATTATTTAAAGCTACTGAAAATGGCATAAACTGATCAGGATACTTTAGGTAAACAAAAAAAATTTTTTTTAAAGAATTAGTATAATAGTAGAAATACGTAAAATACAATAGATAACGTAATTTTTACCTTTTTTACTAGATCGTGTTCTACAAAATCACCCTTGAAACCTCTTTGACCAGGTGGTTGATCACAATAACCACGAGCATGAGGATCAATAAGAACATAAGAAGACCCAGAAATAATGGAACTAACATCAGTAATATGAAACACTGAATTGAAACCGATACCCATTACTAAAATTAAAAGTAATTACAGTAATTAAATTTAGATTTTCGAAATATATTTTAATTAATAGTAAAAAAAAGTTTACCTCCAATTTTATCAAATTTATTTTTTTTCTCACTATTAGCCAAATTCAATAAAGATTTAAAATCATCAGGTTGAAAGATCGTATCATTGGCAGCTAAAAGTGCAGGACCTTGGTATCTATCAAGTCTTGGATCACATAATTTTTCAGTAGGATAAGTATTATGATCCAAAATAAAAGTTTGAATAGTGCTTTTTGCGTCATCAGAATTTTGTAAAATTTCTCTAAGTATCTGAGATCCATCCGGGTACTCGGTTAAAATATTTTTAATACGAGTCGTATAACTCTCATCAGGATGGAAAGAACCAAATGGGGATGAATCATTCATAACGACGGTCTACGAAATAAAAAAAGATCAATAAAATCATCTAAATGATAAATTTTATTTAAATGAGAGATTGAAAAAGGTAAGCTTACAATTTGCGGCAGTTATTAACGTTAATTGATAATAAATCTATCGCTATGGGAATTGACAGTATTAAAATCGAATTATATACTTTTTGAATTACATTTACAATTTTGGAAAAAGAATAACGAAACTTTCACATGATCTGATTGGAAATGATCTATAGAAAAATCTCAAATCCGAATCTGAAAAAATCTGCATGAAAATATGCAAGTTATAATTACCCAAAGAAAATGCTTTGTCAATCAAGGAACAAGCACAAAAAAAAGGTCAAATAATAAAAATTGTTTCTTTTTATTTTTTTATTGTTATTACCATTTCGGTTCGCTCGGAAATTAGAATTCAGAATGTTGTCCGGGTTATCCGATTTAGATTGGATTAATTAGGCAATTGTTATGTAAATACATGTCATATGACATTATCTAGAACGGCGCTGCCAAATTTTATACTCCATTTGGTAAAATAATGAGCTTATCGATTATCCTTATTTCTAAACTGTGTCAACCAATCGGAGTTTATCAATATTTAACCTTAGTTTTATGTTCGTTACATTTAGCTAAACAAAGCATCCATCGTGCAAACGTGCCAAATAATGAAAATTACATATATAAATGAACACAAAACTGTAGAAGTGATGCATATTATTAGTGATGTTTAATTTTTTTTAACGATAATTGCATCACAAATATATATATTTTTTTGACCACCTAAATACTTGTCATTACGTATTTCCGATTTTAAATACGTATTACCGAACTTTTTTAAAAAATATACAAAGTTCTTTTGTTATTTTCGGTTCTTTTAAAAAAAAAATTCTCGAATTTCTTTACAAAAATTTTTTGATCTTCGTTTTTATATAACTTTTAATACTACAATTTACACACATATACTATATACTGTCAAAAATATTAAAAGATGTCTGAGGAAAGAATTCTTTTTTTACAATCCGAAAATGCAAAGCAATATGGTCAAGATTCCAAACTGATTAATTTGATAAAAAACATTATCAAGGTACGTATTAAAAGAAAACAATTTCTATTTAATTGCTGAGAACTACTTTCTAAATTTGTTGTTATTTTACAGGACTATCCTCATGAATCCGTATTTCGTAAATAATAAAACAATTACTTTGAATACTTTGAAACAGTAAAACATTTTATACAAAAGAATTGATTCTATTATTTTTGAATAGGCGAGTTCTTGCAAAATGCAGATGACGCTGGGGCCCGAACCTTTCGGTAACAAAAACATGATATTTTTACTAGCATGTACTGCAATACTGTAAAATGACATTTACCGGTATAATATTTTTTTTTTCAAATAAAATCAAATAGTATCATTGTTGATGAACGTTCAACAAATCAATATGAATCTTTAATATCTAAAGGAATGAAAGATTGGCAAGGTCCAGCAATCTGGATTTATAATGATGCTATGTTTAATGAACATGATTTCAATGCTCTACTCAATATTCATGAAGGAGGAAAACGCGCTGATCCTACAAAGATTGGGAAATTTGGAATTGGTTTCAATTCATGTTTTCATTTTACTGATGTCCCTAGTTTTGTTAGTGGCAAATATATTCAATTTCTAGATCCACATGAAAAATTTCTTGGTAAACAACGTGGTCTTCAAATTAATTTCCTTAAAAATGAAAAATTTAAACACTTATTTAAAGATCAATTGGCTCCATATATTGGAGTGGAAGGTTGCAGATTTGATCAAAAATTTGAAGGAACTTTATTCAGATTACCTCTTCGTATTCGTCCAAGTGAAATTTGTGACGAAATTTTTAATACAACTAAAATTTTGAACTTTTTAGAAAAATTGAAATCTACTGCTATTTCGGAACTACTCTTTTTCCGAAATATTGAATCTTTTGAAGTGATGCATATAGCTGCTAAATCTTCTCCTCATCAAGTTGCTTTAAAGTGGAAAGTTAATTTAACTGATATTACTAGAGATATTCAAATTAAAAGACGTTGCACGGATGAAAAATTTACTTCATTTCGTTTAAATGTAGAATTTCATGATGGTATCAAAAGTATTTCAAATTTATGGCAAGTTTGTATTGGTGGTCAAAAAACTGTCGAACCCGAAGAATTAGCCAAGTTTGCAGAACGCCATCGAATGTTACCACGAGGAGGTGTTGCTGCTTTATTACCTTTACGTAACAAAATATCTAACGAGTTTGAAAAAAATAGAGATGAAGGTCGATTATATTGTTACTTACCTTTACCTCAAATGACTTACCTCCCAGTACATCTTAATGGTAATTGGGCATTATCATCAGATAGATCTACCGTTCTTTTAAACAATGATTCTTTAGCAGATATGGATAAATCTAAATTGGCATGGAATCGACACTTATTATTAAAGATCTTGCCTCAACTTTATGTTAAACTTTTAGAAGAAATTGTAAATTTTGCAAATAAAAGTGACATTATAGCTTATAAACAAATTGTAGAATATTTTTGGCCTTTACCAAGAAATAAAGAGAAAAATAATAGTTATGTTACAGAATTTGGACGTGAAGCTCTTAGAAAACTTCCTATTGATAAACCTTTATTTTGGTCAACTACTGAAGATGGTTCTTATGTTTCTTTACG